ACTGAATGGTGGATAGCAAAGACTATGGCTGCAGCTGTGGGACAGCAACATGCTGCTGGATTTGCAGTGGGTGTCAGACAACACTGTGCCAGATGGAAATGTTTGTATGATAGAAGCAGGACCATCACTGCTAACAGTATGAAGGTGTGTTAATGTACTTCTTTGTTCCTGATGATTTGGCTAGACCAAGAAATTGTGTTAGTTATTTTCAGTGCTGACTTGTAACCCGTGAACCAGCACAACCAGTCCCTCTCTTCTGCCAGTGTTTCAAGCAGATATTCTTCATTCCATTTTAGTCACTGAAGTCTAAATGCTCTTGCTTTTTTTTCTATATAGTAATTGGATTCTCAGTCATGTTAGCAATATTTGAAATGCTTATGTTGTCACCGAAGCAAAACCTAACGATTATTTTTACCATGGCAGAAAATAGAAGTTCTAAACAAAGTAAGCCCTCAAGGAATATCGCCACTGGTAATATTTTTCCATGCCAGTTGTTTGCTGTGAGATATAACACCCATGTGTTCACTAAGGAATTTCATCAGAGAAAGATAAGCTAGTATAATTTGATTTACATTTGGAATGATCAAGGTTGCATTTTCATTCTTCTTGTCTTGCAGTCACTGGTTATTCCTGGTTGCTCTTTCCCCTTAACGTAAGATAATAAAGAGCACGAAGTCACGTTAACTGAACACAGGCACTATGTGTGGCGTCCAGACTTAGGCTACTATCCAAGGAAGTGTTTTATTCATGGAGAATCCCTGATCCTGAGCTTGCAGTTCTGATATGTAACTCATTTTTTTTCAGTGTTCTGTGATGGAAATTTTCGAAGTAGATTCATTTCATTCTAGCAGTGGATGTGGTAATTTTCAGTGCTTTGTCTTCTTTCCCGTGAGGTATTCAGTCTTTCTCCTCATGCAGCACAATTCTTACAGGAAAAAAGTGATGCAAAAAGCTAATTTAATATTTGGATTTCTTCCTGGTTTCTACCCCTTATTGACACCATTTCTCAGTTTCTTGCTCTTTCCTATTGAGAAACTTCTTGTTTGTATTTAATTTTCTCTGTGAGTTCCCATTTTCCTGGCCTCCTGGCAGTTTTAATTTCATTTCTACAGTCTGACCTGGAAGTGACAGCTACTTGCTGATAAGTCCCTTTTTCCATTCCTTGTAGGTTCTCTGCTTTCTCTTAGCATCCTGCTTTGAGGTGCATACTCATGCAGGTAGGTCTGTAGCCCTTTCCTGTCCTCTTTTTATCTTTACTTGGATTGAAAGCTCAGAAAGCATTTGATTTCAAGTAAATCTGTGCCTTCTGTTCACTCAAACTCAATTGTGTTTGTGTTTCATTTGTCTCTGAATGAAATTTTGTGGTATGGCCCATCAGACAAGAGGTGGGATTGCTCTTCAGATTTCAAGACAGAAGGCTGAGGAGGTTTGAATTGCCTTTGGCAGCACTTGTGCTGCATAGGCTGTTACAGATGGGCTCTTCTTTGGATTAAACCATGGGAAATGGTTTTAAAAACTGGCATTTAGACCACCTGAGCCAGTTTTTTTTTTCCCCTTTTGTTGGATATGTTAATGCAAATGCTTTTTGATAGAAGTTCAGTGATTTTTGGAAATTTTCTGAAAATCTTTGAAAGATTTGCTTCTTTTTTGGAGAAAGTATTCTGATATCTCTTTTCTCTCCCAATGTTGAGAGACAAACTTATTAGGTAGCTTTTCTTTTGAAAATGCATGTGTTAGAGGCCAGTATACTTGTCCCTTTCTCCAAATGGCTGGGAAAGCTATTGCAGTGACTGCAAAGCCTGCTTTCTGGAGCTGCGGTTATCACTTCTGAGTCTCCACATTATAAGGATGAAAAGGCTGAATTAATTACTGGAGTGCTGGCAGTTTTAGGATAGTCTGAAATATTCATATGTACATTGGTGTCATTGAAATCACGTTCAGAAGGCTGTAGGCAGGACTTTGGCTATAAGCCTATGTATAAGTTCCTGTGAGGTAAGGCAGTATGTGAATTTACAGGCTGTCAGCTACTTGGTGCACAGCACCCCGTGAGCATGTTTGTACCATATGGCTGAGCCACAGAATTGCCCAACAGTATGTGAAGGCATTAATCTGTGCAGATGGACACAGCTGAAGTCTTGGGTCCAAGAATCAGCGCTGGAACTTGGGGCTGGGCCTTGGTGTGCCTTCACCAGTCTGAGGAGTCCTCAGTTAAGAGTTCAGAAGAGCTGCCGGGGATTTCTTTGAGCTCCTGATGTCAGAACAGGGCTCAGAGTGCTGCCTTGTTGATTTTAATAGCCTTAAACTTCATACTAGAGCCAATATAAATTCAAATTTACACATTTGAGTTCCGTTTAAATGTAACAGAACTCCTGAATGTGGCATAATGGTGATGTGTATTTGTCCATTTCTTAACCAGTAGAAATCTCATCTCACAGTTAAGTCCCTTCCCTGTTGGCTCTTTTTATTTAGGAATAGCTGTTTTCTGAATCTGCCTAAAATTTCCAAAGCCTCCCCATCATAAATGTTGTAGTGCTTGATAAGGTGATGGCAAGAGAGGTTTGTAGGCCTTTCAGTGTTCTTGTCAGATAAAATACCTTTCAGTGTTTGTGGTGTGGTTTTTTTTTCTAAAGTGTGGGTAATAGTAACTGAAAGCTTGAAAAACTTACTAATGGACTGTTTATATTTTGTGTTATTATTCTTCATTGTTTTCCTTTGCTTTGGATTGAAACCAGCTTATTGCCATTAGTAAATGTTTGAGCGTGTTCTTCAACATGAGCGTTCAGCACTATGGTGGGGAGTCTGGGAGTTTCATCTGATGGTCCTTTAAATGGTTTGGCTCACTTCTTAACTTCATGAGTTGGTGAGTGTTTCTGTAACATATGGCACTATAGGTTGAAAGTGGATGTTTACATCTGGTATGCATTGGAAGATTAAGGTAGAGAGGATGAAGTTTTGGACAAGTATGTGTTTTTTGGATGAAGGATAAAGTGAGAATACTTTTATTTCCTCTTAGATTTGAAACATATCATTCCAGCAATGCCTTTGAAATTCTGCCAGTTTTGCCATCCGTAACATTTATGGGATTTTGGACCGAAACTGAATTAGAAAACTGTTTTTAGTGGTGGAGAAAAAGGTTAGTGTATGAAAATAGCTGGGCCTATTATTGACTGCATGTGGTCAGTGGTTTGGCTGAATGTAGGTGGCTCTCTTCCTGTCACTATTTTAAAGCATGTATTTTTTTTTTTTTTTTTTGAGATGAATATAAAACTCTTCAAAAATTAGACTGCCCTACTGTAGTTCTCTAGTGTAGCAGTCTTTTGCTATTTAGATGTCACTGTGCTTTTGCTATTCAGTCTTATAGAAAAACAAACACACAAAAACTTTAAGAAAGCTTACGGTTGCTGCTAAAATTGAAACTGAGAGAGGTCTGAAAAATGGCAGCTGTGCAAGCTGCAGTTTGTCAGTTTTCTTATGAGAGGATTCGTGTACTTTGTTGCTGATTCTTTATTGTAGTTAATGCTAGGGTTTTTTGCAGCAGACAGCAGCTCTTTGTAAGTGCACGCACAAACATTGATTACTGTTTTTCTGAGAATTGCTAATAATTGCATTACATTTACCTTTTTTTTTTTTTCTTTATCATGTTTCTAGTCTTAAAAGTAAAATTTTAGCAGTTTTTCCCAAGGTCAACTTAAGACTTGCTGTTTCTCCCATTGCATAGCAGACAGCTTGAAATTAACCCAGTGTTGTGTTTATTGCTTAGTATGTAGCACACAAGATGCTCAGGGAATAGTGGATTTTCTAGCTCCTGCTGCAGAGGGAGCTGAAGGGCACAGCAGATTCTCCTGAGCTTTAACAGTATCGTCCTATTTATTTTCTCTAAAAACAAACAAACAAAAAAAACAAATAAGAAAAAAAACACCCAAAAACCAATAAATAACCGGTGGTAGGTCTGTAAATCATGCAGGTTGTTTTGACTGTGGGTTGTGTAGGTTGCTTGCTGTTTCCAGTCTAGAAAATTCTGGTGAACCTTGTTTAGAAGTTACCAGATGTGAGAACTGATTTCAGCTGAAGGTAAAGAAAACCTGGTTCTGCTGTGAATTATCATGAGAACTGTGAGAGCTCAGTGAGTTAATTCCATTGCTGTGTCTACAAAGAAAGCAAAAGTTTCCCCATGTTTGGGGACAAACGGTGGATAGAATTACCTAATTTATAGAGTAACTGTAAAGGAGTCAGTACCTGATCAAGTAGCACACCAATAGAGCTGCTTAACGTGTTGCTCAGTCTGTCCTTAAAGGAGGGCACCCTGGTACCAAAGGCCAGAGGCAAGGAAATGATGGTGGTGCATGAGTGAGGCTACTTGGTTGGTTGCATCTCGCTGTCTTGGAAAATCTTCATTTGTTATCTGCAGTAGAAGGCCCACAGCGTTATATAAAATGCAAGTAGACTACTTCTCCTAAAGATATTAACCAGATTGTTAAAATGCTGAGGGGAAGACTTCTAGAAACTGTAGTTACTGCAATTATCACTTGTAGTAATATCTTCTTGCAACATGACAACTTAAGAAAGGTTGATACCGAAGTTGCATCCTCAGATGTTAAAATTATGTAATATTAATTGGAGCATGAATCTGGGGTCGTGCGAAAATCCCTTGGAAACTACAAGTTATGTAACAGAATTTATATTTTTTATTTTTTTGGCTTTGTTCTTGTTTACCCAGGTACTGCTTGGTGTTGTTAATAGTAATCAACGGTTTAGGAATGCACTGTATTGAGAGAGCTCATTTGAGCATGCTGTTGCTTATCAGAAAGATCTTGAAGGACTGTGGTGATAGGGGTAATTAGTACTGTTTCTGAACACGGGTTCTTAGAACTGTATTTTCTGGGGAAAAAGAGGACAGCAAACAGCTGACCTTTGTTTTTGATTTAAGTGAGCATTTTTCTGGTCTCGCTTATGAAAACAATTACATTAACGTATCTCAACACTTCCTCTTTGGATTGTAGAGGTTGGAGATCTGAGGGAGCTGCAAACACTGGATATTTCAACCAATCGCTTGATAACCTTACCTGAAAGGCTGCATATGTGCCTCTCACTGCAGTACTTGACTGCAGACCGGAACCACCTGTGGTATGTTCCCCGCCATCTGTGCCAGCTTCCAAGCCTCAATGAGCTCTCCATGGCTGGGAACCGCCTTGCATTTCTGCCTCTTGGTGAGTCACTGCTTTCACTGGGCTGGGGTGGGTTAGAGAATAGATGGGGAAACAAATCTGCTTCCTCCTCCTCCTCAAAAAAAAAAAAAAAAAAAAAAGCAGGTGATTTTTCATCCGTTCTGATCCCTTCAAACTCTGTGTACGGAGTATTACAGTGATCAAATTGTTGGAAAATATATTAATAAATGAAAAAAATACAGGTTGAGGTTTCGTATTTGCTTTCGAGCCGTAGGTCATCTATCAAATCTGCTTTATTTTTAGCCATTTTCCCAGATGGGGGAAAAAGTTTAAATGATGTCTTGTTTAAATATAGTACTGAGTAATCTAAGTTCCACCACTTTAGGTAATGACATGCTTCTGTTTGCTGGATCTGGTGTTTAAGTAAGATTCTTCAGCTAGAGTTGGAAACGTGCTGAGGAATCCCAGTAAATCCATATATGTGACTTTTTTCATCGGTAGGAATGTCAGTACTGAATAGTCTAGCTGAGATTTAGTTTGTGTGGTGTATAGGCATCCATCAAAACTTTCACAGCAGACGCACAAGAAGATCTTCATCTGCTTTCTCTTCAACCCTTTCTAAGTTTGGAAGTGTAGAGGCAGGCCTTCATGAGCAGGAGGTGTGGTGACCGAGTGGTTTTGTGTTGTGGGAAGTCACTGTGACTGCAGGAAGGGTGGACTGCATATTTTGTCCATGAAAAGCGAGACATCTTCCATGTGTCGGTAGGCTAATCTCTGCTGAAATACAGCTGTGCATGCAGATTTACTGTGCCAGCTCAATAGCCAGTAGTAGTTTTTTTTTTCTAGAATACTCTTAGAGGTTGGTTAATTAAATGCAGATGAAGTGACCATAATAACATTGAAAAGAAGATGAAAATGAAGGTGACTAAAAATGGGATGCTTTTATTTCTAAATTAATGAAACTGTGTGGGTTTAACTTAATTTTTTCAATACTAGCAATTCAGTCTTTAAAGCAGCTGATAGTCTGATTATTTTTTTTAACACCTTAGTTCATATTACTGACAAGTGCAAATAATGTCTCCAGACATGGTGTTTCAGTTATGTCCCAACATATGTCATTATATAAATGAGAAAATGAGTTCCAGGATGCATCATCCAGACTTCACAGTACCATCTGAAACAAGCAAAGTAGCGAGCCTCAGTTTGGCAAATATTCCTAGCTCCATTTCATGAGAGAGCAGTGGAATATTTTTAATTTTTCAAAAATAAGATGATGCTCAGTAAGAGAAGATGTGAAATATTTAAGGGTGGAAGTTTTCTCTGCCTCTGCTCTGGTAGCTTATCTGGGAGTGAGCTGTGACCTGCATGAGCCACAGATCTACTCACGTGGTTTAAGTTCAAAAGGAGGAAATAAATCTGTAATATAATGATACACCTTTTTTTTTTTCTTTATTTTTAGACTCAAATTCAAAACATTCTGAGGGAACTTTTAAAATAATGGGAAACATCAAAGACTGTCAATTGACCTTGTTCAGTAGTTCTTAATAGTGACTCACTGGTGAACATTTGGAGCTAATTTGCTATCTGTGAATACGAAACTGAATCATAAATCCTAGAGTTCAGAGGAAAAGCAGCCCAGCATAAACGTAAATGCTTAATCCTTGGTGAAGAATCAGAAGGCTTCAGAGTGGTCGAGATGTGATGGCAACAAATAGAGTGCATTGAAAAGCAAAATTAAATCTATTTTCTGCTGTATGGGAAAGTGTTTTCCTTGGTGTGCTGGACTACATGGAATGTTAGAGTGTTACTGAAGTTAAGCCACAATTGAAGCATATTTCTGTGAGCTGCACATGCTGGCTAATTTTTGTGTACTTATATCTAACTTCTCCATTAGTGGTGCCCATGGCCAGGGAGGATTAACAGGGAAAGATACTGCAGAAAAAAGAGAAGTGATATTTGAGCAGTAATCATCTTAGAGTTGTTTTTCTGTGAGGGAGTTGAGTAGGAAGGCAGCCATCTTACACACCTCCAAAGAATGTTGTTGTTTTTTTTGCTTTTTTAAGAGGCACGTCTGTGGTAGAAGAAATGTTCATGCTTGGAACGTGTGGCTTAAAACTTTTTCAAGTGTGATTTACTTTATTTCATATGGTAGCTGACATGAAATGTGGCAAGGTACCCATTCTTCCCCAGCTAAATGTGTCCCTTGTTGCTGCCTGTACAGCTCCTACTAGGCGTAGTGCAAGCTGGCATTTTCCTGTTCCTAGACTGATAGAGTCAGATGGATTCTGGCAGTAGCACTGTGACTGCACTGCTGGATAGATACTGTGCAGAATTTTGGCCTGTGCATTCTTTGAGGTGGTAACAGTCACACATGAGCTTGAGGGCACGTGCATCTTAAGAAAAAAATTCTGATATTTTTCAGTTTTGCTGAATTCAGTAATAGCTTACACCACTCTGACTGTTCTAACTGGTAGGGAAACAAGCAGGTAGGTAAGTAATGCTGAGTTAGTCATTTGTTGTGCAGGATACATCTAATGTTTGGATATGCTGGTTTTATTTTTCCACGTTGTGTTGGTTTGTGTTCCAAGAAACAAGTGTGTGGATCTGAATGTTTGGGCCTTCCTAATGAATTTCTACAAATGCCCAAATCAGAGGTGTGTAAGCTGAGCTGGAAACTGCATTCTGGCCAGCTCTATGTAATTGCTTTTTATTTTCTTGTCCCTGGCTTTTGTGCTGCCCAATAAGTGATCTTAGGAATTCTGTTCTTGAATGGCAGATAGCACCTCTGATACCTTTACATCAATCTCATAATCAAAATTACTCTTTGATAGAAAGCTAACTCGAAAATTTTACTGCTAGCAAATGCTGCAGTGCCTGAAAACAAATTCTGCTGGAAGCAGAAATTTGAATCTGATGACACTGCAAAAGTAAAATTGATTTATGCAATAGAGTACAAATATAATTAAAATAGGCCATAAATTCTGAAATATACTGGCAGTTCAGGGGATGTTATGACAGCAAATACTCAGTGTTATATCACTTTATTAGGGTTTTATGTGCACATTTTGTTTAGAAAATGGGTCTAGTAATTATCAGTGCACAGTAAACAAAGGTCTTATTCTACCTCAGTATATACTGCTTTTGTGTCCTTGCCCTCGCAGTATGGTTAAAAGAGCATCAGTGCAGACACACAAGAGCTTTTGTTCCATCTTCAGCCATGTGGAATGCATATGCCAGGGCCCTGAGGTTAAGACAAGAAAAAAAAAATAAAGGAAAAAAAATAGAATTGGGGTTTGTTCAGGACTCATGGCACTGGGTCATTTCTGGGAGAGATGTCTTTGATCTGGGAGCCTGGAAGGAGGAAAGTGGAAGTGTTTTAGACAGTACAGTGCTTGCAAAAGCCACATAAAAACCTTCTTTGTAGCCTTAGCCTTTTCATAGATGGACAGCTTCCTTATTTTACCAAGTTCTTGCAGACTGTTTTCTAGAGGATTTTTAACAATATTGGTTGAATGATAAAAGACATAAAGATTAGTGGAGATGAGATGGGATACAAAGAGCTTTTTAAAGTGATGTTTTATTTAAATTTAAGCTTTGTGGATAGTGTTTGAGACTTGAAAAAACATCTTTTGGGGACTGGAAAATGCTTGGTTATTTAATGCGAAGAAACTATATCAAAGGAACTCTTATAGTTAAAGGCTATTTGGCTTTGGGAATAGAATTTTTCCTACTGAGATATTCTGTCTAACGTCCAAAAATTTGCTTTAATTACCTAGGAAATGCAGTCAGCTTAGAACTTAGAATCTAAACATAGCATAAGATAAAGACGGAGGAAAGAGATGAGATGCAGCCTAAGTCCCCACCCCTAAATGCGTATGAAAAGAACAGCTTTAGGGCTTTTTTTGACTTGCTTGATTTCCAGCCCATTTGCATACATCTGTGTGGAAATGAGCAAGATGAGCCCTCTTTTAAAATTTTCTTCCATTCTCTAAATTAATGAGTTAAACAGTATCACGTTCAAGCTGCCCCAGCAACCTGTAGTTTTCTGCTCTTCTTCACCAGATTGGTCTCTGCAGCATGAGGCTCCCTCAGCTTTCAGTGGCCCGTGCTATTTGTGTTCAGTTTTACTGAGTAATTCTCTTCCACCGTGACAGTACTTTGCGGTGTTAGTTCTTTGGTACTGCAGTATTTTCCTTCATTGTAGGATAGTGATGTTTTTGTTTCATCTAAAAATACTCCAGAACTTTGTTAAACTATTTTCAGCCCTGACATACTGAGGCAAAATACCCCATCTTTTTTGAGGTGTTAACTCTTAACGGTGCACAGCAGCATCGCACAGCGGTGCTAATCAGTCAGCAGAGGTATTTGTACTTCTTTCTTAGGGCAGGACAGTTGACAGGTGCAGGAGATAGTTCTTGGAACTAGAGTATCTTTGGGATGGGGTCAAAGAAGCACATGATGGGTAAAAATGTTCCCTGATGTCCAGTTATTCTGATTTGAGCAAAGCCTCAGTTATGGTTCCTGAAACCTGTTGCAAAACCTCTGTAGAGTGCATTGTAAGAGCCTATATTAAAAGAAACAGAAGTCAAGTTTTCTATGTTAATGTTCTCAGAAACAGAACATACTAGTTTTCTGTAGGTATCAGTTCTTCTTCCTTAGACTGAAGATTTGATGATGTGGCACTCTTTGAAGCTCCTCAGCTCAAGCCTTTAAGGTTTCTGATACTTACAGCTGCTAGTCAAGTGGGTGACAGCTGAAGACATTTGGTGTATTTTAAGATGGCCAAATGTTTGGGGAAATTGTTTCAGATGTCATTTGCTTTATGTCTGTAAGGTGGTACCCAAAGCTCTAAGTGAAAGTGAAACTGTTCTGTGATAAAAATGGGCTTGTGTTACTTAGTACGGTAAGGAACGACGATGAAAGATCACTACTGCAAACAGAATAGCTGAAGAGATATCGTGTATGAAAATGGCTTAAATTTTTCTTCTGATCTTGGCTGCTGTTTCAAAAGGGGCGGAAGCTATATTCATTTTTATTTCTTGCTAATCAAGGTAATTGCCAGTTGGCAAAGATGGGAAGTCGAACTAGTCGATGCTACTAGAGCTTTCAATGTGGCTGATTCAGCTACAAGGCTTGTTTATCTTGCTTAGTTTCTATAACGTGCTCATGAAAGTTTAAGAAGTCGAGAAATATACGCATGGCTTTTCGTAACACAGTTTGTTTGGGTTGCAGTTATCTCCTCCATAGCACAAATGCTTTCAGATGTTTGACAGCTTCTTGCTTGGTCTGTGTTAAATGCACGTCTCTTCCTAACCTGGTGCACTGAATGGCATAGGAGCTACAGATGAAATGGACTGCCAAGATGATCCTACGTGTCAGCTTGAACAGTTCAAAACTCTCTTCATTTAAAAAAAAAAAAAGCTATTCCTCTTACTTTGGTTTTTCACTTCTTTTGATAGCAGACTGAATGGACCTTGCTGATAAGAAAAACTATTCCTTCTGAGAATTATTCCTAGAAACCTAAATTTTCTCCTTTTGCTGTTTTTTCCACTTTGGCTTGCTAAACAAGAGTAAAATCATTCCATACGTATATGGTTCTATCTGGGAATATTAACATACTTACAGTTCATGAAAGTACTGCTTAAATATGGCCTGCTTGCTTCTTTTGACTGCCAGCCATGAATATTTTAACAGAAATAATAAGCAGCTCATATTCAGATGTATTGATTGTTTATTTATAACCACTTCTGCTTTATAATATTCTGCAATTTAATGCTGGTGTATTTCCCTGTGTTCTGTAATTTGATACATCTCATGGACTTCTGAGTGATCACTGTTACGTACCTAGTTATGGCTAATGTAGTTAAACAAGTTTCTCGGAGAGAAGAAAGAGTGGGACATGCCACATTTGTTTTTTTCTTCACCACTTTGCAGATAATAAGGCTGTGATTTCGATGGTGCAATGTTAATGAAAGGAGATTTGACTTTATGCAATATAGAATCACAGAACAGCTTAGGCTGGAGGGGGGATGTTAGAGATGATCCAGTTCCAACCCCTGCTATGGGCAGGGTTGCAAACCTCTTCTAGATCAGCCTGCCCATCCAGCCTGGCTTCGAGCCCCTCCAGAGGGGCATCTGCAGCCTCTCTGTGCAACCTGTTCCAGTGCCTCACCACCCTCTGAGCTGAAACAACAACAAAAAAGCAAAAGTATACGCTGTAGGATTCCAAATGGATTGTCACTTTTCTTCTTCCACCTCACTTGGAGTTTGTCAGAAAAAAGTTTTAAATGGGATTTTCTGGTCTGTGGAAATGAGCTTTATTATGGGTCATTTGAAAAAAATTAGTTGGAAATAGCATTTAAAATTATTAAAATAACTTGCTCAAATATTTATAATTGGGAAGTACTAATTTGTTTGCTGCCATTGAATTTGATTTCTTATTTATAATTAAAAGGAATCACTTAGCTCAGAATTGTCAGTCGTCCCTTCTCCCCCTTACTTTTTCTCTTGTTTTCTAAACCCAGATTTAGGTCGTTCGCGGGAGCTACAATATGTTTATGTGGATAACAACATTCATCTCAAAGGCCTTCCATCTTTTCTGTATAATAAAGTCATTGGTTGCAGCGGGTAGGTGTGAATTAAATCAATGTTTTGCAAATGTGTTCCGTTGAAAATTTCTCATAAATATGTGCCTATGTGATACAACTGGGTTTTTTTGTGATAGATTCAGAATTAATGTCAGTTTAAGGAGGATTACTGCAGCTGCCAGCTCTTCTACTTTTGCAACAAATGTTCTATTAATTGCTGACTTTCAGTATTTTCATGTTAAGCCATAAGTCATTGCAGTTATTCCGAAGGAGTTTATAATGATAATGTAAGTCCCGAAGCTGAATGCTAGCAGCATTTAAAGATGGCCAGAACTGTAAGCTTTGCAAAATCTGCATAACTGAAGAATGCACAAACTGTTTCTTCATGTGTTGCACCATACATCCAGTTCATAAGTTTTCCCATTTCTCTAAATTTTAGGCTGTATCTCAGAATGCCACATGCAGCTTTGCTCATTTTTGTGTCCCAGTATCAGCTTCTTCTAAGTCCTGCTACATACTAACTAAAGCAGTTTTTTTCTAAGGAATTGTGGATTGACAGATGTATTTTTAAGTGTGCATTTTAAAAATATCCTAGGTTGTCTCATGTTTGTGGTTAGGATGTGAGGAAAAAGTGGTCTGACGAGGACAGTGGCTTAATTCTATCTGCACTGACACTAGCATAAATTAGGATCAGCACCACTGAAATGAATGGAGCCTTACTGGTATAACACTGATCAGAGGAGGATTGTCCTCATTACCATCTAATTATAAATTTCTGGTATGCTTGCTCTCAGCAGATCTTATATTAAATATAAATTCCCCCTTTACAGCCTTTGCTCTATTGCAATATGTGAGATGCTGAGTCTTGGCATTTTAAGGTTTTCCTAATATTCATGTCAGCTGGTTGTGTGATATTTAAATACTTGCAGTTGCATGAAACTTGTGCAGTCTCAAACTGAAAATTAATTCTAGCCTTCGCTTTTTCAGAACTAATAATAAATGGTAAGAAAGACATTAAATGCCCAACAGGTAATAGAATTGTATTGATTGTGACCAAAACACTAATGATTATGCAGAAAATGTTCAAGAAAGTGTGGTCCAACTATCCTGTCCTTGTTCCTTATTTTACACTTAGGAAAACTTTTTTAATCTTTGCAATGATCTTTTGTAACAATTCAGTTTCCATAAGACATGATAATTTAAAAAAATCTGCTGTTCTTAATAAAGCATCCAAAGCACGGGATGATTTCCAGTACCCAAAGAAGTATGTGCATTTGTGTACCAGTCAGCTACCTGTCTCCATGTTGTAAAGCCATTCTATGTTCCTTCTAAGAAAGTATGAGTAACCAATGCAAATTTTTCAGAGGTCAGGCAGAATGTTTGACGTTCCAGGCTTTAGTATTCCAGTCATCCACAGAACAGCTAAATCTGCCATGCTGCTGTTACTGATATAAAGCTAGATTTCTGAAAACAGGACATATATTGCATTGTCTAAGTAGTGAATCTCTGTCTGGAGAAAGTCTTTTATGTAAGAGGTAAGGATCTCAGTACTCAGATCGTAGTTTTTGCAGGTAGGATTTCATAGTTTCCAGCTAGGTGTCTGTCACTCTTGTTCAAAGTAGCCAATGAGTGATCATAGTTTTTTCCTCACTGTGGTTTATTCTACAGGGCTCTCCTGCAACTCCAGTTTTTTTACCAGCTGGATGGACCATTTTTCCCCTTTTTCCCCTGCTTTTTAAACTACTTTTGTTGGTTTTTAAATTTTTCTTCTTGCACCCAGTTTTACTCACAGGTTCTGATTCTTTCCCTAACATGGCCAAATGTAAGGATGCATCCCTTAAATTATTCCTCTTGATACTCTGTTTTGCATGCTTGCTTTGTGTGCTGCAGTGGGCATTCATATCTTCACCCTTTATGCAGAGTGAGCCAGATAGTCCAATTCTTAGTTACAGAAGCTGCAGTGAGGTTATGGTGTTTGTCTTCTATATAGTTGGTATGGGATTGATAAGCTTGAAAATATGGCAGTTTGATTGGTGCTGATGGCTAATTCTTTGGGTATTGATTGTTGGAGAATGAATTGTTGGAATACGGGACCTTTAAATTCTAGATTCTACTTTACCTCTGTTAAAGCTCTGTGGGGAAGTATTAAATATTAAGAAAGAGGCTTATTGACTTGATTCTTGATGCTGCTCTTCTTTGCTTATTTCTCAGAGGTATTTTTCTTTAATTGGAGAGGATGAGATTGTTCCTTATCAGAGAAGTTTTACCACATTTCTTTCACATCTGATAAGGATGAAAGCAGCTACTTCAGGTTTAGGTCCAATATCTGGAACGGCTGACAGATTTGCATCATGTTCTATTCGTTAGGACTGGCCCTAACGAGTTGCTCTTGGCTTCAAATTTAAGTTGTCATAAACAATTTAAGTTCCCTTGTTGATTTCCCCAACTTCTTAGTAGAATTTTCTTATGCCTTTCTCTTTGGCATGATAACTTGCAACAGGGATCACATAAAGAACTGTTATTCTAATACAGGCTGAATTTCCTTGAATCCCAGCAACCTTCCTTTTTCTTACTACAGTTCGAAGAGGTCAAAGTCCTTGAAAAAGGATCTTACAGTCTGAGCTGAGGTTTTATTTGGTTTTTGTTTTTCAGAGGGACTCTGTGGGTAGGGAAGGGTATGGGAAATAATCACTGAGTAGTAATCACACTTATTTGTAGCTCACGTGCATGCCTCATAGACAGTAGTTGAGTCCTATTATCATTCTCAAGTGGTTGATCCAACATAAGGGAAATGAATTATTGAGTATTAGATTGCTCCCTTATTTTAAGTTTTTAGTAATATTTAGCATTTGGAGGCTAAACAAGAGTAACATCTGTTACTTTGGTAGTGCACTTGGCTCGCCCCCTTGGGACTGTGCACTCATTTCTCTAGCTTTTGGAAGTTATTTGATTAATGCAGACCTCCAGATGTCTTGTGACATGTCATCAAAGGTTGGATATCATAAGAAAACGTGTGTCCATACATACTGCATTCTGCAGTGAGTCCATGAATGGTGCTGCTCTAAAGAACAGTGTTAAGTGTGCTTGGGGGTTGGTAATTTGGGTTTCCCCATGAAGTTAACTTAATTTTTTCCTAACCGCTTCTTAAATGTCTTGTGTCTTTCTAGCTGTGGTTCTCCAATTCAAGTTTCAGAGGTAAAACTGCTCTCTTTTTCATCGGGACAGTTAACTGTGTTCCTGCCAGCAGAGGTGAAATCTATAGGGACAGAAACAGATCATGTGCTGCCTTTGCAAGAATTGGCTATGAGGACCCTCTATAACACTTACTACGTGTATTTAAAAGGTAAGAAACTTTGTGTTCTTCAGATTTTGGATGTCCTATCACTGAAGTGTTCAAGGAGCAGTTAGATGGGCCTTTCAACAGCCTGTGGTGTCTCTACCCAGGGCAGGGGGGTTGAAACTAAATGATCTTCATGGTCTCTTCCAACCCAAGCCATTCTAGGATTACAGAAAGAGTGGAAGTGCATTTCTGGTAATGATAGTGACACTTGACGTGGCTTCTCAAAGAGCAGGACAAAGATGAATATTTTAAAAGATTTATTTAATCCAAGTCTCTTTGAAATGCTGTGTTACAAGAAAAAAAAAAAAATAAAGGGATCCAAAGACTGTTTCTAAAGTTGAGTGACACTTAGAAATGGTTCCTTGAGGACTGTACTAAGAAGGATGCTTTTTGGAGAGGGAACTCTTTAATGGAAATAGGGAATGAGAAATACAGTTCCTAAGGCAAGATTAGATGCATCAGCCAACAGTGCAGCTTCTTGCCAGGCAGCACACTCCTAAACTGGCAGGCTTGTGGTACATAAGGCAAAAGAAACACAAGCAGCCGTTGGCCATTTCAGTACAGTGTGACAGCTGAGCTGTTTTAGTTCTGCCCCAGTTCAGGCTCTGCTGTAAACTGGCCCTTGGCTGATCTGGTTATGCATCATGCAGTCACGTGAGTTAGCAATATCAGAATATCTGCAGATTCAGATTTTGAGATTTGGATGTACTGTCTCGCCTGTTAATCTTGGGAGAAGGCAGAAGGGTGGGGAGTTAATGTGGGAATACTAAAGAGAAACAGGAAATGTCTGTGCTTTGTAGAGAACGCATTAACTGATCCAGAGAACAATTTAATTGATGAGTATAGGATTGTCTCTGTTCTGAATTTCTACATATGGAAGGGAGATTAGAGATTTTTAATTGTTTAGTGATTTCAGGGGTGCAGCTAAATATGTGACTGCTGCTAGGTAAGTGTGACAGAAATGAGTGGACTACTTTTCTGTAGTCTTTCCTTGACTAGGCTATGTTACTTTTTGTTTCTGATGCAAATGTACTGTTTATCATGCTGTCATCTTCTAGCCTGCTACTGTGTTCATTGCTGACATTTTAGTTAAGTGATACCGATGTTCTTCTCAGAATTTGCTACTGTTGTTAATTGCTAAACACCTGTCTAGACCGTCTTCATGTCCACAAATGCTTTATTGCATATTACTTGGTTTTGTTACTTGCTTGAGCTGTGGTATTTTTCAACTGTATTTTTGGGACCCATTTCATGTTATGCCTATGGATGTTTGACTTGCACATTCAGCTTTTTGAACTTGCACATGGAAAGCACCATATGCATTGCCTTAATTGGTGTCACTTCCTTTATGTTGCTGTTCTTTCAGCGAAGTCTTAAGAAAACAACAGAGCTGGTTTTCTGAACTGTCCACGGATTGTACTTCTTATGTTGGACATTGTAATACAGTATTTTCTTACAAGTCTTTTTTATTTGTTTTCTTTTTTAGATTTGAATTTTCTTACTCCAATCTCACTACCAAAAAGCCTCTTGGAATTGTTGCACTGTCCCTTGGGACACTGTCACCGCTGTAGCCAGCCCATGTTTACCATTGTCTACCCAAAGCTCTTTCCCTTAAGGGAAACTCCAATGGCAGGATTGCATCAAGGGTAATTACACAGGGAATTACACTGGGGTTTCATTTAGAAAGAAAAACTTTATGGAAAAATGTATCTCGTTTGTTTGTTTGTTTGTTTAGCAGCCTTTCAGATGTAAAGCCCCTGTCCAGCAATGGTTGGCAAATCTCTTAGAGGGAAACCAACTTACTACTGTTGGATTGTTTAATAAAGATTGCCTGTTTGATTCCCTCTAGATAGTGAAGATATGATGGGATTGATTTATTTGTGGTGATGCAACAACATACATGTTGCCTTTGTGCCCTTGGAAGGAAATATGGCCTCATACCAATATTTAACTCTGCCCTGACTCAACAGTGCCACCACCACGTGAAAGTGTCCCAGGACTAAAAACAGGGGAAAGCTCTAAAGCCAGAACTTAAAAAAATATTCTACAGTAAAATAATCTTTAAAAAAAAAAAATTCTGTGCAAATTATTTTAAGATACGCATTGGAAACTGCTGCATTGAAAAGGATGGCTTGCTCTAAAATGTTTGTTAAAAGTATCTTAGTTCATCATCAGAGCAGTTGTGAACGTATGTGCAGGATTTGCAAGTCAGGCAGACAAGCCCATGCACACTTCCTGCCTTGCTGGGCAGTAGTCATAGGAGAGACTGACCCCTGTGATTCAGAGTACTGCCCTCATGTAGATTAAGGTTTGAAGTGCTTTTAAGATGATAATACCTTAAAACTGATTGTTTTGCAGTGATTTTTAAGGCAAGTTTACTAATCTGTGTTCCACTACTCTGAGTTTAGTCTTAAATTTATCAATACCAAGCTCAAATGTAGCATTTCTCATGCTTTTTGCTCACGGGCATTATTTTCCCTCTGTCCTACTCAACTGTGCCCTCTGCTCTTTTGGGAAGGATATGGCAGAGAAGAATTGTCTCGCTCTATAGCAGTGGTATGTGCTTGAAACTTCACGCAGTGTGCACCCAGCATTGTTAGATGTAAGCCTGTGGTAAAGATACCTTTACCACACCTCCTTGATCCTGAGTGCAAAGGCGCCAAGCGGCAACATCTCCTTGTCTCCAAGACTCCAGGATAGGGCTACAAAGATTGGGTCCATGGGAGGAAATGCAGAATTCTGTCAGGATCTTAAAGCTCTACATTATGAACACTGCTTGTATTCATAGCTTGTGTAACTCAGACTAAACTACAGTACTGTTTGAAAACTAACTTAGTGTAAAGAAATGTTACTCAGTGGTAAACAAGCAAATAAGCTGTTCAGATTCTTTTAGAAAATCCATGTCAAATCATTGCTTAGACAACAACTATTTGTCCTGCTGAAATCCACTGAGTTGCTGCTTGTGTTCCATAAAAATAAGAAACTTCTTTTCAATAGAAATTTATTATATTTAAAAAAAAAAAAAAGTTGTTTCAGGTCAATGGTGCCTGTTTCTCACAGCTATATCACAGTTTATTTTCTTGTGAGTTTGTGGCATAATAAATATCTGATTTGTCAGTGATTCAAGTATATGAAAAGAAAATCACTTAGGTATGCCAAATCTGAGCAGCAGCCAGAAGGCTGCATAGATGTTATTTCGGAAAAGTCATCTTTCTTAGAAAGATCCTCAGATTACAGAGATTGCATCCTGCATTCTGTTACAGAATGTTGAAATTCAATGGGTTTTATTTGCATTTAAATAAATTTCTTGCACGTGGCCATCTTTGTATTCAAAGTGACATGAGATGTTACGGTAATGCTGTAATTTCTTTGTCATTCAGCTCCATTAGAACAGTGTCACTTTCTACAAAAGTGATTGTAATCTACTTGCTGATATCTGCTTCCTTTTATTACCTGAAATAACCCAATAATGGGAGAATAGACACCTCTGCTTTGTAATGAATTGTCTAGAGTTGCTCACTGTAGAACTTACTTAGGAAGCAGTAGGCACATTAGTTGGCACTGGGAGTTTGGGAATTATGAGTACGAAATTTGTGACTCAGCAAAAACATACTTTGTTTATTTTGGAAAAACAGTACTGACATTCTAGAATACGACTAGAAAATATTTCTGCATGGCTTTCACTTTTTTTTAAAAAAAAAAAAGTTATGTTAATTACCTTGTGACAGTTCTCATTTTCTCCCTTAAACATGAACATACTGTGTTCTACGAAAGGCATTAATAAGTAGAGTTTTGAGTAGCTGACATTTGAAGCAAAACCACAGAAAATGAGATCTAAGCAGGGTAGGCTGTCATCTCTGTAGCTTGTACATGACATGGAAAGATTATGTGGAAGTGCAGAGGTGTGATAGCTGGTTTAGTAAGATGTGAAGGACAGGGTTTTTGTTCTAAAGAGCTTACAGTGACCATGAAAACACACAGGATAAGGATCCTGAACGTTTGAACAGCACTGATTAGCACATGCCACGTCCATGCCAGTATCTTCTGTCTGGATTGCTGTGTCGCGTTCTGTATCCTCTTACAGGAAGGGAAGGGATAGCTAAGTGTTGAACTGTATTTCTATCTCTAAAAAAGCACAGATGACGTTTAGCACTGGCTGGAGTGCGATTTCTGGGTTAGTGAAAATCAGATCTTAGCATTATTCAAGTGGACATCTAGGCCCCTGCCAGGAGAGGGGCAGGAGGAGGGTCACAGTGAGGCTGGTGTCACCCTTTCATGTCAACCTCTGCTCGCAGTGTGACAGCACTGCCTGTCCATCATCCTTGCTGAAGGTCTGGGCCCGCTTTGTTCTCTCAGCTGGATCCAAGGACACTGGACTTCAGTCATTTCATGCCTGCAAGCAGTAATTTAAGAAACACATGAGCAAAGCTGAACCAAAGAATTACCCAGCTATTTTCCTTTCAGCTGTTAAACCTACTGGCTATAACATGCAGCCACACCCTCTGCAGAAGGAAAAACCACATGCAGTTTCTTTAGACTGAGCACATAAGAAACCAGGAAGGTTTTTGAGAACCCCTGCAGTGTTTCCCTGCCTTTGTATTAGGCACTCAGATGTATCAAGCGATTCTTTTTCTAAAGTGTTGAGATCAACTAATCCTGTGCTTTACAAACCAACATATTGTCTGCTGTGGAATGGGGCCAAAAGCTTAATCTTTATTGACAACTGTTCCCCCCCCCCCTTCTTTTTTTTTCCCCTAGGAGGACAACTGTTAGTTTTGTGGCATACTGCTGCTCCACCCAGTGTCTGCAGACTTTTGACCTACTGAGTTGATAAACATTTTAAACTACTCAGGAGTGCTGCCAGTTTAAAGCTGCATTAGACGTCGTATCCCGTTGGTACTGGAATACAGTGTGTGTGCCAAAGCAGCAGAAGTGCCTGGTCGGGAACATTAAGAGGCACTTAAATCCTGCCCTATCAAATTTGGATGAAGTGCAGAAACTTTTTCGGAAGTGTAAATACCAAGTTTTTAAGAGCATTAACTTCTCTCAGCAAAGATAGCATACCAGGCAAATTTTTGAGTTCTAAATCGCTAGATTTGCAGTGTTTTTCAAACTGCTTTTGGGTGGATCCACTGTGTCTTCTGGGGCAGTTTTCATGCCTCTAACAGTGTCCAGCCGATCTATAATTTAAAAACTATATGCCTGAATGGTTTTTGTTTATTGTTCCCATCTTTTACATTCTACAGTTGTATCCAGGTGTGTAAATCTAAGACTGTACATGCTTTTGAAGGAACCCTGTGACTTTCACATAGAACTTGGTTTTATTTTTTCTCTCTCATCTCCATATTTTACCCCACAGAGTTATCCAAGTTTTATACTAAATCTTTAACAGGCAACCATGCTATTTAAATCCATGTATTTAAAGCAGATCTTTGCTTCTGGTATTACTGTGAGCCACACTTACTCCACTGGAGGAGCTAGGATATGTCTGGAGACTGAAGGTGCTGTTTGAGTAACAAAGGCCTATGCTGATATATGCAGCAAGTGGTGTTGCTCTGGTGTTTGGTGACGTTGTCTTTATTTTCATCACTTCTATGCTGTATTTTTAATAAAAACAGTTTCCCTTTTGCTGCGTTCTGAATTCTTCAGGAAGAAGATATTAAGTACAAATTTCACTTGGAAGAAATAGTAATATAAATATTTATCCCTATTTACTCTATTTTGACACTTGCAGCCAGTAGACCTGCACAGAGCTGGTCTTCATTTCTCAAGGTTTTGCATTTGATTTGTGAGAGCTTCTCTGAAGTGTGTTAACCTTAGGGGAGGCTGGAGAAGGGGAGGGAGGGAAGTACATTGTACCTGTGGGTGGGGATACATGCATACCTACAGACACAGCAAAAGAGCTGTGATAAAATTTTTAGTGTATTATGTTCATATTAATTTCAAAGGACAAAGAATGGGGAAAAAGGCCCCAAATGTCTGTGCGAACTAAGATTTTCTTTATGAACAAAGCAGTCTAAATAGTTTTCCCCTTTGGACTTGCTTTCACGTATGTAAATTGTTAATGTATTTATTAAAAAAAAGTTAGAAACTCTTTGTTGATCTAGCAGTGCTCCTGCTCCACTCTGTGCAGCAGATTCACACTGAAATAAATATGAATGAAAAAGTTATAAAAATGGCAAGATAAAGAAACTTACTTGGTAATGTATTAGCATATATTGTGATGAGGAGTGCATACTTTGGAGGGAGGAGGCACTGAAATGTTTTCTTTGTGCCAGAGAAGCATTTGTTCCTATTGCAGGTTTCCTGGCATCTCTTTATAAACTGAGCATCTTGAGAGCACCAAAAAGACAGTTTTTGAGGGTGGAATTTTTAGGTTGTGCTTGCTACTTGTAAAAAGTATTGCTGGTTTTATTGGGATTTTTTTAGAGAGTTGAATTAGCATTAAGAAATGTAGAACTTAATCCTTCAGGAATGCAAGTATCATCTATTCTTTAAGAATTGTGAAACCACCTAAAATAAATCCTGTTTAATAAATTTTCTTTGCAGTAGGGGAAAGAGCTGTGTCCAAACAGACTTTGTTACTACTGGATTTCTTACTATGTCATTGGACTGATTTTGTTTCAGTGCTGGTATCCCCAGAAGGCCTTCCCACCCAGTGGGGTTTACCACTGAGGCAACAAAATTAATCTTCAGCTGTTTTTCCTTCAGAACTGCACGTTTGAAATGTAAAGTATCCACAAATGGTATCTACCTTATCAGAAGGGTGCAGATGTAGTACAGAAGCCAGTATTTTAATGGTTGGACAACTACAGTAGTGGTACAAAGACAAGTTTTTGGTGCAATTGTGTAATTGGGAATTTTTGCTGTTATTTTTACTGTGTCATCTTTTGTAATACTTGAAGGAGGTATTTGTTGGCAATTTGTTCTCTTTGTAGAAACTCGTGGGCTTCCAAACCAAGTATTTCTGAACTCAATCATATATTAAATTTTATTTTAGAGTTAAATCTTTTGATCAACTGAAGAACATCGTTGTTGGTTTGATTAGGAGTCAGGTGGTAAGAGTAGAGCTTGATTTTCATTTTTTTTCTTCCCATAATCATTTTAAAATTTGTATCAGTCTATTATTGTCTGCAAGTGCAGTCCAGCAGAAGAAATTCCAGTCTGTTCTATAAGCAGGATGAATCTTAACTAACATTTTAATAGATGATATTTCAAGAATGGAATGTTCAATGAATAAATGACTTAAATATGCGATTGAAGCTGAAATGTCATATTCTATTTTTATGAAAAAAAGGAAGAGGAAAGCCAATATATAAACTGAAGATGCAGCTCAATTTCAAGTTTCTTTGATGTTTTTGATACAGTGTTTGTATTCATCTGTATCTTTGGGTGATATTGTTCGAGATTAAAATAACTCCATTCTCACTAGTCCAAATTTTTCTAAAGTAGTTCTGTTGTAAGAGTACTTCAGCCAGTTAACAAGAGAGCCAGCTGTGCTCCGGGAGCTTGCTGCTGATTGAACTGCATCGCTGGATTTACAGTATGAGGTCAAATACTTTTGTGGCTTCTCTTTAAGGTGTTTATTTCTTGGTAATTTTTGATTCTCTTGTTGGTCAGGTCAGCTCACGTCGAGATCGGTTTTTCCTTGCACTGCAAAAAATCTGGTTCCAGCAGTTAAAAGAAAACCCTTCTATAGAAGTCTTTTGTCATAAAAATAGGTCTGAAGTCTTATCTTACGGTGGGAGTAGGAGAAACTTGAATTTTCTAGACATAATAAGAAGTGAGGTGCAAGAGAGGAAAGAAAGATAACATTGAGTTACAAATTTATTGCTGTAAAATTTTTCAGAGGGACATTTAACTCCTGTTATGACCAAAGAGCACGTGTTTAAGTTTTGTTCATTATATCGAGCTGTGTTGATGAAATCGAGACCCTGCAGGGTTGTGTTTAAAGATGTGACTTCTTGTTCTACCACAAAGAGAGAGAAGGAGTCTCTTGCTTTGTTGAAAAGCACTTCTTGAGCGGCTGTACACTGGCCACTGTTACATTTGAAGCATTTTTGGGAACCTTCCTGCTACTGCTTTCTTGAGGGGATCAGCGATATCAGTGTCCTTTCCTGAGCAAAGAGCAAGCTGTTAAATCAGCAAGTGAGCATTTTTCTGTTCCAGCCTGATGCTTCTCATCAGTTCTTACTGAAGTCTATCACAAACTTTCTGTTTATTTCATTGTGGTGATATTGGGCTGAGCAGACTGGAGCTGCTTTTTTGCAATTGTTACAAATCAAATTCTACTGAATTCCTTTTTCTGTTATGAAGGAGCCTTGTAATACCTGTGTGGTAACAGCATGTCAGGTTTTACTGACAGCGCAGCCAAGCTGAAGACTGGAGGGTGCCAAACCTTTCACTAGAGAGAGTGACTTTTCAGGCCATTGTGGCCTCATTGGAGTACTACTGATAACAGAAGAACTTTTGCCTCAATGTCAGTGGAGGTTGGATCAAGCTCTAATTCATGAGAGAGAAGACTCTTTTACCATCTTTGTATTTCTTGCAAAAACTGGGACAGTGTCATTGAAGGCCATGCCTACTGCTAGGCAAGCTGCCTGCAGCTGAAATTCTGTAATTCCAAGGTGTGATTATCTTTGCCTTTTACCTCCCTCCTAATCTCGTATTGTTGCAAAATGTTACAATTAACTTGTGATGGAAGAGACTGAGTAAATTGAATCCAGAGCTTTTATTACTTTTTGTATTACCAACCGATTTTGGTGAAGCCTTCGCTGTTTGTACTGTATGTCTGTTCTTTGGTTTACAGCCTGAAGTTGGATTGCACCTGAGTTTATTCTGTGTTCTTTGAATGTGTATTGCCTTTTTGCTCTGTGTTCACTAAGTGTCAGTCAGTGTGAAGGTGAGCTTGGTAGATGTTTTATTTAAAGTTAGTGGTGCAATTTATTGTATGTGCTTGTTAATAAATTATATTTTTTTTATAAAATTACAGTTCATTAAAGTTAACTAAACTATTGCTCCTGGGGCTATTAAGCTCTGTTAGCATTTAATTTACATCACAGCTAATTTGCATAGTAATTAGCTAATAACCCTTCCCAAGGCTGGAGAAGTGGGGTGTGGACACTTCAAAAGACTAGCAAGCCTAAAGCACCACTTCAATTCACAAATCCCTTTGTCTCAGACAGTGTAGTTCACCAGATAATATGTGCAAAACCTGTTGGAGACTTTAGGCCCTTCTGTGGATTGATCAAAAGAGTGCAGCGCAATTGAAAGTTATCTTTGTGTCACCCTAATGGTCCATAGATGTGGACATGGTTCATGTATTATTCACTAAGCAGTGTTCAGCAGGTTTTTTCCCCTCTCTGGAACAAGGTTGGATGCCAGGAATAAGCAGAAATTAAGCATCTTTTTTTTTTTCCAGTTAGATCACTCCTTGCTGTGTGTTATTTGGTTTCAGTCAAAGCTGCAGCTCTGTATCTGTTCAGATGATTTTTTTCACTTGGGTGTTCTCTGAATTGGTCTGGTGTCAGGTGTGTGCTAGGATATCCATTCTTAAATGAGACGCATCTGGTTCAGGGTGATGCTGAACATCTCTTAAAATTGATGTTTTGTAGGTTTGAGATGTAACCATGCTTGAAAGTTTACAATGATTTGCCTTCTTAGTACTTTACAAATGACAAAATGAGTTTTCCTACCCTTGTGATAGAGGTAGCCTCTATTTACCTGGCAGCAGGAGGATGATGCAAGTCTTCCTTAAGAGACGTGGGGGAGAACAGCCTTAACCTATAACTTTTACCAACCACTGCTGTGTCCCTTGTGAATTAGAAAGAAACAAATGGGAGAGCTTAACATCCTTTTCCTTTGCAATTAAAAGTACTTGGCATAAATGCAAGCTAAGTGGAAACTTCAGTGGCTGAATAATGCTATTGTGTGCAGGAAATGAGAGGAGCTGTGGATCTTGCTTGGAAAGGCACTGGCTGTGTTGTCACTTTGAAGCCAAGATTTTGGGCTGTTCTGTGTGGTGACATTTTGGTAACTTATGAACCACAAAGTCTGTGTCCCACAGCTTCAGTGCTTGCTTAATGTTAAGGTACTGTCCTCTATTCTGCAGTGAAGAATCCAGCTAGTATTCTCTAGAGCTGGTTCAGGGGCCTGGCAGTGACCATTTATAAAAATTTCTGCCTGCTACATCAGCAAGAGAGAGTGAGAGCTGACCAAATATGTTCTTGATCACTTGAGGTTTTAAATATTAAAACTCTCATAGCATGCTTTTTGTGTAGCAGTTACGCTCTTCCTGCTTCCAGGCGAAAGACCTTTTCACTTCTGTGGGAGATCTTGAATCTCAGCAATGAAAGCAGTTCTGTTGGAAGTGGTAAAGTGATTTAACTTCTGATGATGCCTTCCAAGCAGCAACCAAGGGCTGATTTCTCAGGTACCCTGATCTTTTGTATGTTCATGAGGGTTGCCAACACTGACCAGCTCTTTCTGTCAAGGAAAGTCGTCAGTCATTGATGGCTGTTGTGTTACTAAATGCAACTACACCCATGGTACTACATCCACCACAGTCCCTTCAAGGTGTTCTGCTGTCATTTTCTTTGTTTCTCAGGAAGTTATATGTATAATCTTTT